AACCACTACATCCTGGTACTTTGTGAACCACTACTTCTTGGTACTTTGTGAACCACTACATCCTGGTACTTTGTGAACCACTACATCCTGGTACTGTGTGAACCACTACTTCCTGGTACTTTGTGAACTGTTAAGGACTCATCATCTCCAAGGTCTAACATATTGCAGGTGGGGGCTGCTGCCCAGGAGAATGGAGGCGGGGACTGCACAGAGCTGGCCTCCCAGGGCAGGGACTGGCCTGTGCTCTAATTGCAGAAATGGCCTGCATTGCTCCGCATGACTTCCAGATTGGTGCTGCTTGAGGGAGTATCTTACCTCAATGCTTTCAGTTGACAAGCAGCTATCAGATGTGTGTGGAGCTAGCACAGAACTCAAAACCAGTCCAAGGCAGACAAGGGAGAGGTTTGGCATTTGTCGTGGCGATGGTAGGTGGTTCTAGGAATTCTCAGGTTTCAACCATCAAATATTTTCTTTAAACAAAATATAACAGTAGAAAAGTGTCTTTGAGGTTAATATGGAGGAAACATCATTTAAAACTTGCTTATCCATGTGGGAAAAAAGTGACCAACAGTTTATTTCCAAGTTCAGTGAAGCCTGTAGCAATCTGCTGAATAAAAATGCCCCACTGAGAAGCAGAGATGCTATGGCTTCCTTGCACGGTCGTCTCAAGCTTTGTAGAAGGTTCACGAAGGCCCTCACTGAGTTAAGGATGCCACCTTTCCACCTTCCTCTTAGCTTAGGGTTCCAGATGCCCAGTTATATTTAAATGTTAGATAAGAAACAAAGAGCATTTTCTATAACTATGCCACAAAGATTGCATTATTGGCTATTTGTCTGATACCGAGGTTTAACCAGCATCCTGTATTTTTGCTGGCTATATCTGGTAACCTTATTTTTGTCTGATTTGCAGAGACTTGAAGGAGAAACTCTATCTGCGAATAGTCTTTGCTCACTCATTTTCCTGGGAGAGAACCATTTCCCTTTTAATATAAATAATGTAAAAATTTAGAGATAAAGTACGTGGGGCTTAAGGAAGGTGAAATGGAGCCTTTACAATGTAAAGTGCTTTCTCCCTGGCCCCAGTTCATTAGCGAAATCTAGTGATTTAAATTACCCAGCTAACCTCTTCCGCCACCGTAGGATTATAAATCAAGGAGGTGGCTACTACCTGAAGGAGTCTAGGGCCTTCACAGAAGGTTGTCATCAAGCTAAGAGGGGCAGAAAATTTCCTATTACTGTGTCATGCAAAAATGGTAATGCCTGAACCTCCACTTACAGCATATTACCTCTATGCAATTCACTTGCTAAAATAAAAGAAACAAAATTGGAACATATTCACTCTTTTGCATTACGAGAAATAAATAAGATGGCTGGGTCTCTGTACAAACCGGCTGATGTTACACAGCCAATGCAGCCAGACAGAGGCAGACTCATTCAAACAAAGAGAAAGCATTCAAGGTGTTTATCTGTCTGTCTTTCCTCCTTTATTTTTGTCTGTCTCTACGCCTTTATTTTGTGTGAAATTTTGAGAGATGAATTCCATTTTCTATTAATTCAATGGCTGTCATACTGCATTACATCATGCAGCTTGGACCACAACAATGAGGTTTAGGGTTTAAATTAATAATATTGCAACACATCACTTGATAAAGCAGTGTGCTTAATCCTATCTAGCCTGCTCAGGTAGCCTGACTTCTACCCAGTGCCTTGAATCTGCAGATTGCAGTGGAATTACCCAAGTTCAATTGCAAACAACCTATAATTGTGAGCTGAGTACTTGAGCTTCATGGTAGAAAGCATTAATTTAATATGCTGGGGAGATTTAACAAGCTTAGTTTTCTTTTTTTTTTTTTCAATAAATAGTTGGTGTGGGGGGGAAGCAAGGACTTTGAGGTTTCTGAGCAGCATTTGCTAGTCCTAGAAATACCCCCACTAACAGCTGTTGTAGATACAGTTCCTTTATATGCTTCGTTAGCCAAAGCCACCAGGAAAGTGAGATGCTGGGGTACGGGTACAGGGCGGGGGGATATGGGTCAGGGAAGATCCTTGGAGGAGACTAGGGATTTGGGGAATGGTTCAGAATGCATTTCCACAAACATGAACTTGAGATCCTCCACCCCCACCTCCGCCAATCACTGTAGGGTGAAGACCAAACCTGAACCGTTCCACGTCTGAAAGAGAATAAAATCAGATGCTCAAAGAGGAAAACGAGTCCAAAGAGCATTGAAAATACTCCTTACCCAAAGCAGAGTGTTCTCATAGCACTGTATCCATGTGCAGATGCTTTTTCTGTGGAAACGAAACAAAATAATTAATAACGATGCATTTGAGGAACAAGGAGGCACCCAGGAAATCCAAGCACTGGCCAGGAGGGGCGGAGAGCAAGGGCCCCCGGAGCAGTGGCTGAGTGTGCTGGGCTCCTCTTGCCCTCCAAGTTGCCCCTCCACTCTCCAGGATCCCTGGCGCCTTCCTCAGGCCAGATAATGTTTCCAAACAGCACCAGCACGGGGGAGAGGAACAGGCAGGATTTGTCTGTGGCCTTCATTAAGGTGGGTTGCCAATTGTCAAATTAGTTTCTGCCCAACCTGCCGAGTGCAAATGCAAATCTGCTACCCCGGTGCCGCCTCATTTGCAGTTATCGATTCGTGTTTGACTGCAAGTTCAAAAAACGTTGTCTTTGAAGCTTCTGCATATATGCTTGGCTTCCTGGGTCCAGGTGGCTCTGGATCCCCGGCATTCATTTTGATCTTTGTATTCCCAACGCCAAGGCGGGTCATTTCAGGTAACTTAAAAGCAAGATACAATCAGAAAGGATTTGGAAATAAAGTCTTTGCCTTGTCACATTAATGCGGTCCTATCAAGTGGCAGTTTATCAAGAGCCACCTCACAAGGTTTTAATGAGCATGCTGCCTGTTCTTGTACAATACTAATTAATCCCATTTTTTCACACTGCCGTGATTGCTTCATGAAACCCACATTGTTTTATACTCGGTAGCAAAGCGGCTCTTACTGATTAAATCTCCTTGCCTGCGATGGAGCCTGACAACTGAATTATACCTTGCTCAAAATAATAATGGGTATCAGCTAATAAATACGGTTTAACACACACAAAACTATGCAGCCAGAATCACACCACAAAATAGGAGTTTGACTTATCGGCTCAGCAGTGTTTCATTAAACATCTGTATTATAATTCACTGGTTTTCCAACTGATGTAATAACTTAATTGATGAGAACAAAGACAAGCTTATTTA